GTGCTGTTCATCCTGGCGGTCACGGCCTTCAAGGACCTGTGGGAGGACTACAGCCGCCGCCGCTCGGACCACGAGATCAACCACCTGGGCTGCCTGGTCTTCAGCAGGTGCGCGGGCGGGGCGGGGACCTGGGGGGCGCTCCCGGGGCCTGTGTGGGGCGCGCCTGGCGTGGGGCGCTCCCGGGACCCGGTGTGGGGCGCTCCCGGGACCTGTCTGGGGCGCTCCCGGGACCTGGTCTGGGGCGCTCCTGGCACCTGGTTTGGGGCGCGCCTGGCGTGGGGCGCTCCCGGGACCTGTGTGGGGCGCTCCAGGCACCTGGTTTGGGGCGCTCCCGGGACCTGTGTGGGGCGCTCCCGGCACCTGGTCTGGGGCGCTCCCGGCACCTGGTCTGGGGCGCTCCCGGGACCTGGTGTGGGGCGCTCCCGGGACCTGGTCTGGGGCGCTCCCGGCACCTGGTCTGGGGCGCTCCCGGGACCTGGTGTGGGGCGCTCCAGGCACCTGGTCTGGGGCGCTCCCGGGACCTGGTCTGGGGCGCTCCCGGGACCTGGTCTGGGGCGCTCCAGGCACCTGGTCTGGGGCGCTCCCGGGACCCGGTGTGGGGCGCTCCCGGGACCTGGTCTGGGGCGCTCCCGGGACCTAGTGTGGGGCGCTCCTGGCACCTGGTGTGGGGCGCGCGGTGGGTGGCGCTGGGCGGGCGTGGCCGGGAGAGCGGCTGGACACGAGGGGCCGATGGCCCGAGGGGAACAGTGCACCGCAGGAGGCCCCTCTGCGCCCGGGGACGAGAGAGCGGGGAACTTTACTTTAGATGCCGGGGCGCAGGGGGTGCCCTGTCTCTGAGTGTCACCCAGACCTGGCCACAGAGCTAGAATGACCCCAGGGCTGGACTCCAGCGGCCCCCAGGCGTCCTCCGCTCCGGCTGCTCCTGCCTTTTAAGTAAAAAGGAGGGAAACCAATTCCCAGGCGCCCTGGCCTGAAAGTTCCTGCCTCTGGCTTTGGCTAGACCCCGTGCGCCAGGATGTTTGATAACTTTACCAACCAGTACAGGGCTGTAAATCTCAGTCTTAGATAACATCTCATCTTGGGACAACGGGGCAACTGCCACCAAGTTCCTGTGTGCCCCGCGCACCCCAGATAACGGGCGGGGTGATCCCAGCGGCGCCTGCCTCTTGATGCGAGCTGTGAGCAGACCACTCTGCAGGCACCTTCTCATAGTTGACTGTTTAAGTTTCCGAAAGTTAACCCAGTTTCCAGATGGAAAGACTGAGGCTCTGGGGGTTGGTGAGTCCTGCCCATGGTTAGTAACAGGGAGCATTGTTACACTGGGCTCCTTCTGTCCCTCTCTCCCCCATCCCTTCCCTCTCTCTGTCCTTCCTCTCTCCCTGTCCCTTCTCTTCCCCTGTCCCTTCCCTCTCCCTGTCCCTTCTCTCTCCCTGTCCCTTCTCTCCCTGTACCTCCCGGGAGTTGTGGACACTCAGGCTGGGCCCACCCAGGACGCCTGCTGTTCCTTCTTCCTTTACCCAAAGGGAGTCACTGCAGGTCCATCTAGTAAGCCGAGCCCACCTCCAGGTCACACCCCTTAGGAAGGCAGATGGCCTTGGCCTCCATTCAAAGCTTAGCCCATGTCTCCCTCCTGTTCCCTTTGCTTGAGTCCTGGTGTAGGGGCTCATACGGGCCTTCATCACCTGTGAGGGCCTCTAGGAAGCCCCTTGAGTTCTCAGTGTCAGATTGCCCCCCTCCCAAAGATGGGGGTCAAGATTGTTCATGGCTCTGAGGATAGGTCTTCACCATGCATACCCTTTCCTGCCTTTGCGGATCTCTGACCCTCCTTGCCAGGCTGGTTGTGCTTCCTACTTATTTTACAAATGAGTCAACAGAGGTTCAGAGAGGTTAAGTCATTTGCCCAAGGCCACACAGCTGCTAGGTCGTGGTACTGGAATTTGACCCAGGTCTTCCTGACTCCACAGCTTTTCCTCTGATGGTGTTTCTCAAATTTCTCTTGAGAATCATGAGAAGCTTGTTAAAACTTACAGTTGTCAGGCTCCGTCCCCAGTGTTTCTGACTCAGCTTGGCTGAGATTGGGCCCAGGAATCTGCATATTTGATTCCCACACAGGTGATGCTTATGTGATGGCTCCTAGGCTGAGCAACACTGTCCTGCTTGCTCTCGGAGGCACCCACTGGCTGGCTGGTCAGCAAACACAACGTTGCTGGACAGGGCTGTGGGATTTCCTGGCTCCTGTTCCCCAGGAGCCTGAAGCCGAGAAGGGAGGGGTGACCGCTCACACAAACGCCCTGTGTCCCCAGAATGAGGGCTCCAGGCAGCCACGTGTCTGCCTCCTACACCACGGGCTTAACTTTACCCCGGTACCACTTCCTGTTGTCACCAGCCAGAGGCTCCTGTGGCCTCCTTTTTAGAAAGACTTATACCTCAGCAAATACAGTTTCTTTTCCAGTAGGCAAAATGCTTCCAACCCAGAATGTCGTTTGCCCCTTGTAGCAACCATCACCCCCCAACGTGCACACAGGGGCCTGAGGATGGGAGCCCAGAGCAGCTGTCTTGCATCCGTCACCTTGAAAGGCTTCCTGGGACTTGGAACCCCACATTTTCCTGTCCGATCACACCCACCCGTGATTTCCCCTTCCACCCTGGCCCGACCTCTTGTCTNTATTTTCCCGTCCGATCACACCCACCCGTGATTTCCTCTTCCACCCTGGCCCGACCTCTTGTCTCAAAGGACCAGCACAGTCTTCTGGGCGGGTCTTCAGGGATTTGGGTGCCTTCAGAGGTTCCCCGACACCTCCCAGCTCCCAAGTAAAATTCCTTGAATGCTTTCATGGGGAGAGACTGGCATTCTCCCTGGGGTGGGTCCGTGGGTGCATCGGCCTGGGTGTAAGTTATCTCCTCCAGGCCCAGAAAGCCTGGCGTTGGCACTTTCAGGACTGGCTGGAAGCATGTGGGTTTTTGAGCCCTCCCGGTCCTCTGGACATGAGTGACTTGTGTGCCCGTTGCAGCCCGGGCTGTGTATAGCTGCCTCCCAGATCCTGCCCATTGGATCAAACCAGTGCCCCAAGCTGCTCCTCACTGAGCCAGGCCCCAGCCCAGCCCTGGAGATGGAAATGAGGAGGAGGCTGTGCCTCTTATGGACCTGACCTTAGGGACTGATCACACTGCAGGACGTGTCCATGGAGGGGCCCCGAGTGGGGCTCGCAGCCCAAGGATGCAGGATACAAGCCCAGTGAGGCTCTCCGAAGGTGGGCTTAACTCTGAAAACCAGAAAGGATGTGGCCAGACAAGGGGCCGGAAGGGCGGAGCGTGTGACAGGCTCAGGGCACCCTGGGACTGTACCTGGGCCATAACCTGTGCAGGAGCAAGGTGTAGGCTCGAAGCCCTGGATCGGGGGAGCTGGTGTGGGGACCGGCCAGAGAAGCCTGGGAACTGATTTATTGTCTGCCAGACCAAAATGTGTTCAGTGCCTTTGCACAGAGACCGTGGAAGCCCGGTGCAGACAGTTGGCGTCTATTCTGTGTTGCGTCGTTGCCCTGGACAGGGCTGCTCCATCAGAGCTCGTGGGAATGCATAGTGAGAGCGCCCTTTAGTCGGGGAAGCCTCGCCCGCTGACACTCTCTGGATGGTGGCTTCTCTCAGCATCAGCTCTTTAGACCACTGTGGGTCCCCGCTCCGTGGGAACCCAGAAGGCAGCCTCCCGGACACCCCTCCTGCCCTGGCCTGCGAGCCTCTGGAGGTGGCAGCTGGGGTCTACATCACGGCTTCGTTTGCACAGGGGGTTCCAGAAGCATCCTCCTGAGTCGCACCCAGTGGAATGAGAGGGCGCCTGGGTGATCCTGGGGGGCGTCAGGTCCTGCCTGTGTCCCCCACCCAGTAGGGAGATCAGCCCTTGTGTCCCTGGGCTGTGGTCTAGTGGGCGGTTCTGGCTTGGGAAGCCCTTCTTGGTCACATGGGCCTCCTTGGTGCTGGGTGAGGCTGGTGGGAGGAGCCACCTCCCTTGAGGCCACAGGTGGAAAGAAAGGGGTGTCTGAGTCTGACACACACACCTGCCTGGAGCTCCCAAGGGAGGGTGTCGAGGGTGACTCGGCACAGGTTTCTGTTGGTAGGAAGCTTGGATGTCTCTTTACTGATAGGCTTCGGCCTCCAGCACAGTGTCCAGGGGGACCAGGCTGCTGCCACCTGGGCCCAGGGCGGAAGGGGCAGCAAGTGACCGAAGGGCGCAAGGCTGATGGGCTGGAGGAAGAGAGGGACCAGAACACAGGATCGGCCTAGGGGGCAGGGGTTCTGGTGGCAGGGAAGCAGAGTAATTATCGGGGACATCGGAGGGATGTTGAAGAATCATCATTCCTATAAGGAGATGTTGCCCAAGGGAGTCGGAGGGAGGAGGCAGGGAGTTGTGCCTTGAAAGCCCCGCCGTCCCCCTCTTGAACCTCAGGGGTGACCGGGTGACAGGTAACACCAGCAAACCCCAATCCTGCTACGTATGCTCCCAGAAACAGGGAGGATCTTGGAAAGCACAGCCCGAGGTGGCTGGGCTTGGGCTTGCCTGGGGGAGACCTGCACATGCCTACTGCCTCAGTTTCCCAACTTGGAAAGTGGGTGCTGGGCCCAGGTCCACGCGCCCCTCCTGGACTTAATCCCGTGGCCCCAGAGGGGCCAGCGCTCTTGTCTTGAGAGTCCCCTCTCTCTGCCCCAAACCCTGTCTGGGTTACTGTGTAATATTTCGCCTTTGGCTTCCATAGCTTTGTGGTGACACCTCTCGTTGTCTCTCTAGAATGATGGAGACCATAGCGTTTATGCGTGAAATAACCCATGGTGACTTTTCTCGCAACCTGGGCTCCGTACTTGGATTCGAGCGTGGCATCCTGTGTCCTTCTGTCGACTCTGGGAAAACACCATCGGGGTGCTCTCCTGCTCTCTCGGACCGACTGTCACTTTTGTCCCTGCCCTTTCCTGTGACTCTCACTCCCTTTCCCAGGCTCACCGGGTTATCAGTGCTCTACCTGCGTCATTGCCCTAAGCTTTAGGGTTGGTTGGTTTTTCAGAAGAGCCTGAAATGAGACCTGGCAGGGTTCTCCTTTGATTTCTGTTCGTGCTCGGG